CCTGGCCAATATGGTGAAACCCTGTCTCTACTAAAAATACAAAAATTACCCAGATGTGGTGGTGGGCACCTGTAATCCCAGTTTCTTGGGAGGCTGAGGCAGGAGAATCGCTTCTAGGAGAACCTAGAAGGTGGAGGTTGCAGTGAGCTGAGATCGTTCACTGCACTCCAGCCTGGGCAATGAGTGAGACTTCGTATTTTTGAATGCCTTCCAATTCTAGGTGCTGGGAATACAACAGAGAACAAAAGAGATGACAATCTATTCACTCATGGAGCTAACAACTAAAATGGCCAAAATGTTTAACTTTTGCCAGTCTGGCAAGTAAAAGTCTCATTGTTGTTTAACTTTGCATTTTACATTCAGTCTTTCTGGCCTTATTGTGATAAAGCAAAAGCCAGGTAGCTCACCACTGGAGCCAGGCATTGATGAATCTTGAGTTGCAGATGTATCACTAAGTGCATTTAACCAGCCATGTAAGGGAGCGGCCACTGGTGAGATGGGGTGAGGGGCAGGTAGGAAAAGGAACTGGCACCCTTGGGTTCTGCTCAAAGAGACCTGAGAGACATGAATATACAGTCACATCTGAATGCACCCACCCTAACCCTTTGACACCCCCCTTTCCAAATGTATTAAATATATCTATAAGAATGTGTAAGTTGTCACTGATTATTAGATATACTATCAAATAAGTCTTTGGGGACTAATGGGACATCATATCAAATGCGTTTATCTTGCATTTCAGTAATGCAACCCTATAAGAAGGAATTGTTCCTTAGAACTGAGGACACACGGTACCCCTCATTTATATGCACATGGTACCCCGCTATCTCTGTAATGTTCTTTGACACTGCTTTCAGCTCTGTAAGAATGTTCAGTTTTAGAGTAAAGACAGTAGGGGATAGATCCTAGGATTTGATTTTCTGGCCCTTTCACCCTGCTGTTTATGCCCATGTGAGTCTATGTCAAAGGGACCGTGGATCAGAGCAGACACCTTCATTGCTGGGATGATGCTGAAAATACCATTAATACTGGGAGAACTGGCATCAAGGATCAGGGGTCAGTGATACATGTCTATAAATGAGATTTTGTCATATTGCAATTATTGTGGAAATACTGCCTGGCCAGCGGCCTGAAAGAATCAGTCCAAGAATGGCAAGGGTAATTGCCAGTTTTGTCAGTATGCTATATAGCTACCCAGTACTTAATATGATTTATTTTTGTTTATGTTTAAAGCAACCCTGAAAAGAAAGTAATGCTATCATTTAACACAAAGAATCAAATTTTAGGTCATACAATTAATAAGGCAAGGAGCTGGGCCCAGAGGCCAGTTCTACTGACTCTGAATGAGGACCTGCCTGTCCTCCCAAAGGAGAAGGGGTGCTGGGCCTGAGGACCTTGAAAATCTATCTGTATATCTTGTCTTCTATTTTACTCCTGCAGGGCTACAGGACAACCCCTGGGTATGTGACTGCCAACTCTATGACCTGGTCCATCTTTTGGATGGCTGGGCCCCAAACTTAGCCTTCATTGAGACCGAATTGAGATGTGCCAGCCCACGCAGCCTGGCCAGAGTGGCCTTCAGACAGCTTGAAGTGAGAAAGTGCCAGGGCCCAGAGCTCCATCCAGGAGTGGCCAGCATCAGGTCCCCTTTGGGGGGCACAGCATTGCTACGCTGTGGAGCTACTGGAGTCCCTGGGCCTGAGATGAGCTGGAGCAGGGCCAATGGCAGGCCCCTTAATGGTACAGGTATGTGAGCTAAAGGGAGGATACACTGAGACCCCAGACTGGGGAGGACAAAGCAGTGCCCCAAATGGGGAGTTGGCAGGGTCAGAGGGAATTTGTCTAAGCAAGGCTGGGCTTCTATCTGCCTTGAGTTGAGTTTGACAGCGGCTTCCCAGAGGCAAGTCATGGTGACAATAGATTCAACAATGACAACGTCTCTTGACCTGTCCTATCATATCCCACCAGCCACTCTGTAGAGACTCGGGGCCCACCCTGAGAGAACAAAAAGCTGACTTTTTGATGAAAGTCTCTCTTTTAGTGTATTAATATTTATAAGTTTCCCTGTTGTAAATATTAAACCAGAATTACCTGGAGTAATTAATGAGGTGAGCTACCATCTGCTGAGCTCTTCATGTGGGTCTAGTACAATGCTAAGTGTGTTATGCACATAATAACATTGAACATCAAGGAGCATTTCCTTCTTATTTTGCATATAAGAAAACTGAGGCTCTGAGAGGCTAAATGCTGCATCACACAGTTTGTACAAGGAGGAGCTGGGGTTCCAGTAAAATCTGTCTGGTTACCTTTGTAAAATTCCAGTGCCCTTAAGAACAGGGTGGGTTGACTGGGCATGGTGGCTCATGCCTATAATCCCAGCACTTGGGAGGCTGAGGCAGGAGGATTGCTGGAGTCTAGGAGTTATCAGCCTGGGCACCATAGTGAGATCTTGTGTCAAAAAAAAAAAAAAAAATGCTGTACATGGTGGCACACTGAGGTGGGAAGATCACTTGAGCCTGGGAGTTACAGGCTGGAGTGAGCCATGATCACACCACTGCACTCCAGCCGGGAGTGACGGAGCAAGACACTATCTGAATAAAGCAAACAAAAGACCCATAGTGCGAACTTGTCAGATTTAGAAGGTGTCATTCTTAGGCTCTGCCGCAACCTGGGGCTCCAAAGGCTCCCCACATTTGAGCCCAAGGTAATATTGATCCCTTGGCTCGTCTAAGAAAAGTTGAATGACTGCCAGTGTTTTCTCAGGACGACACCTGAGTGTATACCACATAGGAGCTGTGAACTTGGCCCTGAATGGCAGCTTGGGGCAAATGGGTCCATTCATTCTCTCACTTATGCCTGTTTTCCTCCTAGTGCACCAGGAAGTATCCAGTGATGGCACGAGCTGGACTCTGCTGGGCCTACCTGCAGTGTCCCACCTTGACTCCGGAGACTACATCTGCCAAGCCAAGAACTTTCTGGGAGCCTCTGAGACTGTTATCTCCCTGATTGTCACTGAGCCGCAGACTTCCACAGAACACAGTGGGAGCCCAGGGGCACTATGGGCAAGGACAGGTGGAGGGGGGGAAGCTGCTGCTTACAACAACAAGCTGGTGGCCAGGCATGTCCCCCAGATTCCCAAACCCGCTGTCCTGGCCACTGGACCCTCTGTGCCCAGCACGAAGGAAGAACTGACCCTCCAGCACTTCCAGATGGATGTCCTGGGAGAGCTCTCTGATGGGCAGGCAGGACACTCAGAGGCACAAATGGTGAGATCTGTGAAGGTAGTGGGGGACACTTACCACAGTGTGTCCTTGGTGTGGAAGGCGCCCCATGCTAAGAACACAACTGCCTTCAATGTCCTCTATGCAGTCTTTGGGCAGCACAGCATGAGGCGGGTGATTGTGCAGCCTGGGAAGACCAGAGTGACCATCACTGGGCTGTTGCCCAAGACCAAGTACGTGGCGTGTGTCTGCGTGCAGGGCCTGGTACCCCGGAAGGAGCAGTGTGTTATCTTCTCCACGAATGAAGTGGTGGATGCGGAGAACACCCAGCAGCTCATCAATGTGGTGGTGATTAGTGTGGCCGCCGTCATTGCCCTGCCTCTCACACTGCTTGTCTGCTGCGGTGCTCTTCATAGGCGCTGCCGCAAGTGCCGCACCAGGGACTCCACTGAGGCCACAGTTACCTACGTCAACCTGGAGAGACTGGGCCATAGCGAGGATGGCTCAGAGGAGCTGTCCCGGCACAGCCTCAGCGAGGCTGACAGGCTTCTCTCAGCTCGTTCCAGTGTGGACTTTCAGGCCTTTGGAGTCAGAGCCGGCAGGATCAATGAGTATTTCTGCTGAGGGATGTGCCTCCACCACTCACACACCTTCTCCGTCTGCTCTCCTTCTTTAACTCTGACACTTGAGTACATGATCACCCACTCTTACCTGCTTGGGTACCTGCTTACTCAGACACCTGGGCACAGCAGCAACAGCAGAAGCTATTGCAACAACCGCTAACACTTGTTAAGCACTTACCACATACCAGAAAGTGTTCTAAGTGCTAAATTCTTATAACAACCATTTGCAGCAGGCACCACTATTCTCTCCATTTCCCTTGGGTGAGAGGTTAGGAAACTTGCCTGTATCAGTCAGTTTTTGCTGCATAACAAATGAAAGCAAAATCTCAGTGATATACAGCAGTGAACACTTATTTTCACACTCACAGGTCTGTGGGTTGATTAGGGTGGCTCTGCTCTGTGTGTTTCATTTGGAGCCTGGGCTGGAGAGCAGCAGTGGGTACCTGGGGCAGGTTTCTCTCATGGTGAGGTTGAATGACAATAGAGGAATGATTTTTCATGCAATGCCTGTTAAGTTCTTAGTTCAGAATTGGCATACTGCCACTTCTGTCCATATTTTATCTGCCAAAGCAAGTCTCATGGCCAAACCCAACTTTAACGGGGCAAGTATGGACACTTCTTCCATGGAGGTGATGGTGGAGGAGGAAATATGTGCTGAACAGTGATCCAATCTACATTCCCCAGGATTACCCAGCTAGGCAAATTTAGGTGGCTCTGAGATTGGGACCACACAGTTGGGATCCACAGTTAAAAGTCCTCACCACCCTCGTATACTGTACCTTGATTACATTTTATGCTAATTCACAGGCACTCACACACTCTATGCATTAGCCATTCTGGTAGCTACCCATCCACACTAACACACACACACCACACTCATAACCCACTGTGCCCTCACTGAATTCTAATATTTATTCTCTGGGTGCTATTTTGCCTAGAGACAATCATTTGGCTTTTCGATAAATGCTAGAGTTTGAGATGATGCTCAAGAGAACACTGCTCATTTGATTTCAGAATATCAGACTGGAGGGATCCAACAGACCTCATTATACCCTGTGCTGTCTGGCACCTTCACCTCTGCCCCCATAAAGCAGACTTTGTGATAAATAAACCAACTTTAATAGATATTATTTTGTATTTATATAGCGCTTTAAGGGTGTCTCAGAGCCTTCCTGGTTGCTCGTCAAGTTATTTCAAAGGAAAATCCCTGCTCACTTTTTCTTAGAGCTGGGAAACCACTGAGATGTTGTCTCTGTGCACTGGAGAAAGCAAATGTTCTCAGCAGAAGGTTCAAGTGGTTCCTTGTTTACAGAGCTGATCTCTGTCGTGAAGAGCATCCGGGGTACCTGTGCCAAGTCCTTTGGGTAATAACTGAAGAAATTTTGGGACAGTAAGCTGTCAAAAAAATTATTTTGCTAGTATTATGCAAAAGACTCCAAGCATTTGCAAGTATTATGTCATGTGATTTACTAGATAAAAGCCAGTGTGCCGCAGTGCTTTCTAAAGTTACTTTACTCCCCCTCACATTTACAGAAGACCTTACCACATATTTCACCCAGTTTTCTCGCATTTGATACTCATGGAAACCCACTATGGAGGCTGGGCTGTTTGATTTTACAGATGAGGACCCAAGAGTAGACTGATTTATACAAGGAAGTGATGAATTCTTTTTTGGAATCCAGTTCTTTGACAGCTTTCTCATCAGGCTGAGGGTCTTTATTCAGTATCAATCCCTGCAATGTGGTCCACAGCAGGTTCACTGTAGAAATTGACTTCTTAAAATCACTGAAACCTGGGATCAGAACCACGAGAGCACCCATGAACATAAGCATGGAATTTCCTTGGATATCTTCTGCCACCACCTGGAGGGCGCACCTGACTATAACTTGTAGACTACAGACATTGGTAAGACAGGCTGTTTTGTTGAAAGATGACAAAGACACCATGTACATTGGGAGCCAGCAAACTTTTCTCCTGAAAATAAAAGAAGGCAAATAGTAAATATTTTAGGCTCCGTTGCTACTACTCAACTCTGCTAATGAGATGCAAAAGGAGTCACAGACAATATGTAAGTTAGTGGGTATGGATGTCTTCCAATAAGACACTTTTTACAAAAACAGGTGACAGACTCGATTTGGCCCTCAGGCTGTAGTTTGTTTACCCCTTATGAAGATTTATAAAGGCATTTCTGGTGACTTTTTGGAGACCCAAGACTCAATTCTTACTGTCTGATAAATAAAGAGTGATAGATACACCCCAAATTAGGACGAATGTAAACATAGATGAAAGCAGTCATCTGTTGAAGTGATCAAGATGTTGCCTTTAAATAATTGTATGAACCAATCATGATGGGACAATTATTGACCTAAAGGCAACTAACAGTTAGCCAGTTTTATTGGCTAAATGTCTGGAGAAAAATCAGAAACTTAAAAGCAAGAAATTTGTAGTATTTATCTTATCTTAACAGAGAGAGAGAGAGAGAGAGAGAGAGAGAGAATTCAATCTTGCCAATGATCCAATGATTCATTAGGATCTATTTTCATGGTCTAGGTGGAAAGGGCTCTCATATGGTTTGACAGTGTCCTCACCCAAATCTCACCTTGCCTTGTAATAATTCCCATGAATCAAGGGCAGGGCCAGGTGGAGATCATTGAATCATGGGGACAGTTTCCCCTATACTGTTCTCTTGGTAATGAATAAGTCTCACGAGATCTGATGGTTTTATAAATTTGAGTACCCCTGCACAAGTCCTTTTGCCTGCTGCCATGTAAGACATGCCTCTGCTCTTCCTTGCCTTCTGCCATAATTATGAGGTCTTCCCAGCCATGTGGAACTGTGAGTCCACTAAACCTCTTTTTCTCTATAAATTAGTTAGTCTTGGGTATGTCTTTATCATCAGTGTGAAAACAGACTAATACAGCCTCCAAGATAATAAGCCTCCCAACACTCATCTGTCAACCTACCTTTGTGTATCCTGTCTTCCCTGGTTTGCTCTTGTAGGGAGGAATCATCCTGGATTACGCTCATGAATATTCAAGTCACTGGGAGAAACAAATTCCTATTGTAAAAAATAAAATGATGCCTGGCTTACATTAGTCTTTCAGTATGTGAGTCTGATTAGTTTGAGTTAGTCCCTGAAAATTGAATGCCCTCTGAGTGTCCTGGCAAAAGAATGTCTGGCCTTCCAATGCTGAAGACCAATTTGGGCCATTGTGAGCCTGCAGCATGGCTGGCCCTGGAAGCCTGGTTTGGAGGTTGGTTGGAATTATAGTACCTTCATGATGTCTTTTTATAACGGCAACATGGTTATATTGCTCATGATTAAGCAGAGAATATGTCCAAGGTCACGTGCCCACTGAAGTTGCTGGGTACCAAAAGGCAAATACAGAAATTGTACTCTGGAAAGTGGATGTGGGCTATCAAACCTAGACTATCAATCAAGGGATTCAGTGAGCAGTTTGTCTAGAGGACAAGAGCTGGAAATTTTTGACTTAATTATCATATAATCTAGCAAAAAAAAAAAAAAACTACCTAAGCATATTTATTTACAAGGGCATTGTAGTTAGGAGAGGTTAGACTTGTGCTAAGGCCATCATTCCCAAATTTCCATGGTTTAACAGAGAAAAATGTATTCCTGTTTCACAAGCTGTACTTAATTCTGGGAAATGTAGATGGAAGGAGGGTTCTGCTTCACGTATTTACTCAAGGACACAGCTGGGAAGGCTCCCCCAGTTGGAATGTCAGTGGTTGCCATGACAAGGAAAAAGAGAAATGGGAAGATCATGTTAGGGCTTTTCAAACCTCATTTCTTGTAACATTTTATCAGCCAGATCAAGAGTCTCATGGTCCCCCTATGTCAGGGAGTCTTGGAAAGGTCATCTTTTGTGTACCTGCCACAGGCATATCTGAGAATGTGGGTAGCTGAGGCAGCATCTCAGACATGCTAGCAGCAGAGGGTGGGGGTGGGAAAGAGTCCTAGCTTTAGAGAAAGGGGATATAGAGTGTCTGCCCCCTGATAGAATGTCCAGCTCTCTGTCTGAGGTATCCCAGCATTTTACTAATATTGGGAAGGTGAGTGGCGTTTTCCAGTTGAATAGATAGAACACTCTTTTATTAAGATTCTATTCAGATGGCAGGGCGCGGTGGCTCACGCCTGTAATCTCAGCACTTTGGGAGGTCAAGGCGGGTGGATTACGAGGTCAGGAGTTCGAAACCAGCCTGACCAACATGGTGAAACCTCGTCTCTACTAAAAATACAAAAATTAGCTGGGCATGGTGGCACACACCTGTAATCCCAGCTACTCAGGAGGCTGAGGCAGGAGAATTGCCTGAACCTGGGAGGCGGAGGTTGCAGTCAGCCAAGATTGTGCCACTGCACTCCAGCCTGGGCAACAGAGTGAGACTTCATCTCAAAAAAAAAAAGATTCTATTCAGACAAGCCAGGGAGATGCCTCCCCACAACCATATACATCTAACCATTTCACAGGCACAGAGTAATTCCTCCCTCATGACTCTGTTTCTATAGAGAACTTTAAGAGCCTAGTTCTGAAAAGCATCCTGCAGGGGGTTGTAATATTCCGAGACCCTCTTGCCATTGCTGTTATGGTCTCTTGAGTTTAGGGACTACACTTAACCACAGGTTGTTTAACATAAATAATATCATCCAAGCTAAATTTAATTGTCCTCGTCTCCTGCCTCAGTTTCCAAGAGAGCTACTTCCTGTGCTCATATGCCAAATAAGGAAACCAAAGAGTGAGGGGGTCAGAAGAGGAGTGGGGGGCAGTAGAGAAGCGGCTTAGATGATTTTAAAGATAGCATGCCAGTGGGTGGGCTTCACGAGCTTTCTGAAAACTTCTGGAAAGTTGGATGGAACTGAATTCATTTGAAAAAACTGGCATGAGATGGACAGAGAGGAAACTGGGAATGGAGGACTCTTAAGATCTTTATCCTTTGGGGTAAGAGGAGAGAAAAGAATCCACTAGTGGCTTGTGATAGCCATGAATTAAATCACATATTTTTATGAAATAAGCCTGACAAAGTCTTAGCAAACCTGGTAGGGGACTCTGGAGTGATAATTGCTCATCAGAGTTGTGTCCTGTCAAGGCAAACTGGCCAGGCTTTCACCGCCCTCAGTCACTGGATGTGGGTTGTGGCTGCCTGGGGAAGGACATGACCTCATGCAAGCATTCCTTGCAGCTGAGCCTTCACTCATCCCTTGAAGGGGGATCTAGACAGCACATCACCATATGTACCACAAACTTTGTGCCGATAGCTCTCTCTTTGTTTTGGATTTTTACCTTGAGATAAACTCGAGAGATCCAGCCACGTTTTAGAGTTAGACTGTTTGGAAACTCCTGCAAATATATCTGGCTTGGATGGAAAGCCTGGAGTGTAATCAGCTTAGCTGGTGACCCATTTCCCCCCTCACTGGTTAGCTAAGCGGATTTTCCCTGCTGAGGCCTTTTGTAGGGTACAACGTATATCATGAGTCTTACAGGAACTCACGGAATTTCAATATTCAACTGAAAGTGCCCCAGTTAGTAGGGATGTGGACTTTTTTTTTTTTTTTTTTTTTTTTTTTTTTTTTTTTTTTTT